CAGGTGCGTCTGCCATTTCTAGTAAAAAAAAATTATATTTATAAAATCTGATATGCGATAAATTCTGGTGCTTAAAAGCTTTCACGCCAGCTTTAATAAGTAGACACTATGGTATAATTATTAAATAGATTTTAACATTACTGATGTTATAGGTTATGACAAAGTAATGTCCGAATTATAGATAAAAAACAAACAGATTTCACTTTAACAGCAAAACACAATGTTTTTAACACAGTCTTCTTATGAAATTTGCGAAACAAATTTAATAGAAACAAATTATTGGGACTTTCTAACAGAATACACGCTTTTGTTGTTATACGGCTGGAAATGCCATGCAAAGTTAGGTTCTCGTAATCCATTGAGATCGGTACAAAATATGTCAAATATAACAATGAGAATAAATGCGTAGTATCTCGAAACAATTAATAATAACTTGCAACAATTATTAATCTGTCGTTTAAATTAATTTAACATATTTTAAATAATAAATATGGGACTTTGACACTACAAACATACCGGATATATATGGTGAACTAAAAGAAACAGGAAACCGTAGCCCTCTTACGACAACAGTATAAAACTATTCGAATGATAACGTAGTATGTGATATTATCAATCACGAACCATTTTTGTAAGAAAATATGAACCTACTAGATGTCGCTGAGTGTCCTATAAAATACAAACATGATGAGAAAACATTGAAACAATAATCAAATACAAATGAAGTCTAGAAGTTTTCACAAAGGAATAGTAAATTTGATTATTATAATCGTTATTAACTATCAATTTGGTAACAGTAACATTATTAAAATTTTATCTTAATATTATAATAACTTTGGTGTTCTTTAATTCTTCGAAATTTTATACAGATAGACCAACAATTTAATTACTATGAGAATATCTAATATCGTTATAGGGATAAAAATTAATTTTTTATAAATAATTAGTATCGTGGGAATAAATAATTAGAAATTTATATTTAAATTATATATATATATGAAATTATAAGAATCGAATAAAATTATCTAATACTTTTCACTAATCGATATTCCTCTTTCATCTCATCTACATCTTAGAAGCAAATGTTCCATACGAAATTTAAACAGTAAATGAGCTCTCGTCGATATGTAGTTATTTTTTGATAAATTTATGCTCTTAACAATCTATTATAATAATACATTTTTGTAACATATAATGCGAGATAACTTTTTCGTTGACACACTGTTATTAGAATTTTATTGTGATTATTAAGAAATATAATATTAATTATTTATTAATATTTATTAATATTTATTAATATCTCTTAATAATCACGTAAAATTCGCGATCGAAATCGACTCGGAATTTATTTTACAACACGTACGCATATACACGTACATATGTTAGATAGGGATCGCAGACGATCTTCTTCAGCGCGACAAAGAAAATATTGTCCCTTGGTTCGTGGTCGGTTCAAAGTTTCTCTTTCGCAATTTCCCTGTTTTTCGTTGGATTCTGCCGCCGCTTCGCCAAGCACAAAGCGCAAATGAGATATTATCGCTCGACGCCCTCCAGCCGCATTTTTCTACGTGATTAAAGTCAAGAATATTGTGTACACTCCAAACAACCGACGCTTTGTCCCGCGAAATTAGCACGTACCGGCGAGCCAATTCAGCGACGCGGACACGTTCCACGGGGAGGGGAACGGCGGTATGAAAGCAACGATTCATCGATTTTATAGCACACCCCTTTTTGCCTCCTGGTTGAGATCGAGTAAATTGGAGCACAAGTAACTCATTTGTCGTTTTGTAATACACAGCGACGGCCCCGCGAGGCGTTGATTTTAATTTTTCTCGCCTTTTCGAGTTTTCCCTGGAATTCACGATGGCGGAGGAAGTAACGAAATAACGTGTATTTATTTGCCATTTTGACGTGTTTCAACGTTTCAAGCGTACCTGAGATAATAATCCTTGTACCTATCAAAATTTTTAGAATTTTCGATGATCAATTTTCGTTCCACGTTTACTGTAAATATAGTATTTATCCTTCTCTTCTTTTTTTATTATTTTAAGGGTAAATGGAGTAACGATCATTGGAATTTTTGGAATTTTTTATTGTCTTTCCTGTTTCTTATTTTTATCCTCTCTTCAAATTTTATTCGAAGAATATTCTTAAAGTTCTCAATAAACTTAGAACTTAAAGGCAGGGCGGTGTTGTTGCGCACCGATGGGCCTGGCGACCCCACCTAACCCGAGCTAGGAGACATGATAATAATAATCAGAGCATAAAGAATAGGGACCATGATACTTGGCTAAGTAGAGGGAGACATTCTGGCAGGGTACATAGTGCCCAAATCTTTTAATGCTCATGGGTCCCAGGATTATTGATTATATTTTAAATACAATGACGAAAGTTCCAATGACATGTCTTCTGGATGGTATGATACTTCAGACAGAATTCCATATGATTAATAAATAATTGGAACGTTGCTATAGATTTTTTATTGTAACCTGGGTGCTATAAACGAAGTCTCCTAATTTTCGTTAAATAAAGTCGACACAAATTATAGTAACTACTAATAAGAGAACTATATCGAGGTAATACTCACCGCGAATGTTCACCCAGGAACACCTTAAAAATCGCCGATGGTCTAACAACTAATTAATCACCGGCAGAGAAGCACTCGAGAACTTAATTCCATTTTCTGGAAACCATTAAACAAAAGCAAGCTACTCCACAGTTCTCAAACAATCACGAAATTCAACCTTCTAAACAGCTAAAATTCCCCTGTTCCTCGCGCAATCGGTGAAAAGAAAAGAGAGAAAAACGATTAATAATTACGAAGAACAAGAACAGAAACTCGAGGAATATTTCGTTTCCAATAAGAGAAATATAGGTTCTTTACAGCCCGTATTATTCGCAGACGTGCTTCAGCGTTTCGCGGTATGTTCGAGAGTGCGCGATATTAAATCGTGTGTTTATTTCTCGCGTTAAATTTCCCGCGCCGGTCAGCCATCTGTCGGCCACCCGGCGAACCAAGTTCGCGCGGGCCGCCGCCATTTGCGTCTCGGATTTCCGCGGCGACGTTTCTTCGCGACAGTCTAAAATCCCAGGGATATAATATTTTAGGATAAAAGCCGGCCAGGGAAGAAGTAAAATCGCGGAACGCCGTCGGCTCGCTGGATTTATGTCGCTCGAGCAACGGGTCAAGAACAAGATTTACGATCGACGGCCTCCCGTTGCGGCGATCTCCAGGATGGCATTCAGAACCACGCGAGAATTATTGCACGCGTTCAGCCACGAGTTTTGGTAAGTTTCTTTGATACATGCCGGGTGGAATACGTATGACACCCGGTATTTATTTAATACATCGCTTTGAATTATTGCAATTGTTTTATGCTAAATTTTGGAAACCTTTAACCCTTTCCACTCGTATGTCGTCATACAGTAGCCATCTTACATTTTATTACTATGCATATATTAAATTTGTGTATTTTTCTAATTTTTCCTACTAAGCCAACAAATCAAATCGCAATATTTTACCATAAAAATTTTCATTTTTCATTTTGATCGCGTATGAACAAAAATTCCGAGTTGATTGGTAGTTTTCTGAAATATAAATTCGAGTGTAGAGGGTTAAAAATGTATTTTATCGAACTAAGTTATATGATACGATACGTATACCAGGTTTCTACTAATTTGACTTATGTTTGTGATAAATTGGTCTGTTAAGGGTATATTAAAGGTGTAATTCCTGATTACATGAATTTTTATCTTGGAGTTGAGTTTTTGAAAGCTTAGTATTCTCATTCGTCATTTGAAACTTTCATTCTACAACACAATTTTTAGTTATTTCTCTATACTAGCTGAGAATATTGCTTATTAATTTTTCAAATTAGACGTATTTGGAGAATATATAAAAGTTAAAAATTTTAATTCGTTTTAAACTAAATCCTATCCATTGTAGTGTAATTATACTGTCTCCGGCACTTTCAAGGAAGAATCCTTTGAAAGATTAATGCGATAAATGTTAATAGAAAAGGCTTGCTCGTCGGTAATAACTTTGTAGACGCCGTGATAAAAGTCTAGGGATCGTTTGAATAGTTTTCCGACTCATTCTAGGTGTCTTCCAGTGTACAATAGTCTTCCAGTTCCAGGGCTAAGTCTGAAAGTTAGAGGATGGGAGATTTTTTTCCTTTTACGGTTCCGAGTCACTTCCGGTCGGTTACGTTGTGGCTTCGAGAGGTTGTCCGTGTTCGGAATTGTCGAAGTAACGTAAGAAGATACGCTGAAGGGAAATGTGTGTCGGAGAAACGACGATGGTAATGGGAATTTGTGTAACGCGATTGCGCAAGTACGGGAAAGAATGGGAGTGCAGAACGTGGTAGTTTGGGAGAGAGATGTTAATAGTTGAGACTTCGAGGTCTACTTTGTTACGACTCTAAGATCCAATCCCGGTTTACACGGGAGTATTTGGAAAGCATGCTACGCGCCATTTTCGCTAAATTGTACGTTTAATTATTAATTGCTTTTTGAACAGGGGGGAACCTTTACGAAGGCTTTATCGGTCAATTTAAGAAGGTTCTTGAAATTTTTTGAGACAACTGAATACAGTTAGCTAAATTTAACACTAGATTTACAAAACTCGTCAATTTGACGGAAGGGTTGCTCCAGTTACACGATGATAACAGATTTAATTAACTTATATTAAGACTGTTAATATAATATATAATTGTTTTTAAATTAAACTGATCGTTAAAAAGAGGGCACATGGTTTCCTTTATCTGTCAGGTGTCCTTAGAAATAGGTATACAGGTAGCGTCCGTAAACCTAGTGTTAAATATGGTGGATCGTTCTTCAGCATTGTCATGTTGGCTCGATATTTTCA